TCTGCTCGGCTCGGCTCTCAGTGTTTGTGTGCGGCGCAGTCGAAGCCTTTGGTCCTTCTGGACTGTCCGGCTGCATTTTGCATAAGGTTTTTCAGCCGACTGCTCACATTGGATTGTAATTTATTTATATTGTCTCGGTAAATATTTATGCACATATTTTTATTGATTTATAAATCAATTGCGAACAGCTTCAGGCAGCTGCACAGATTCTGGACCTGGACAGGCCAGGCCAGGCCAGGCCGGGCGAGGCCAGGCCAGGCCGTTTATCACCCCGTCGAGGGTTGCTCGACGCACGGGACTGCGGGACTGCGGGGCAGCAGCGGCGAGGGGTCGTTGAGTGCGCGCGGAGGGTTAATGGGGACTCGGCTCGACTCTGTCTTTGGCAGTAATTAACGCTCGGGCGACTTAAGCAGCCCTTTGGCCCACTTAACCCCAAAGAGAAATTACCTGAAAGCCATTCGCATTGAAGCGCTTGTCGCTTGTCGCTTCTTTGCTCCTTTGCTCCATCGCTCCATCGCTCCTTCAGTCCTTGTGACGCACTTAAGTGTCGTGTTATTCCATGTTGAGTCAGTTTTGTGCCGCCAAAACTTCAAAGCTAATCCCCACATACAATTAAACTGAATTCGCATTTGGCCACTCGACCTTTTAGATTGACCTCCAACTCCATCCTCCATCCTCCACCTACACCCACTTCCACTTTCCCTTCCCCTCCGCCACTCCACTCCACTCCAAGCAGACGCCTTCAAGTCTGGCTACATATAGTAACGGCTTAGCTCAGTGTTCCTCACTTTTGGGCTGCTTAGACCCTTGATTTGATTTAATCTCTTTGGCCAATTGTTCAGCTGCCTGCCATGCCTTACGCCTTTCACAGCACTCTAAAGCTTCGATTTCATTCGGCTATGCGTAGCTGCATCAATAGCCAGTATATTCAAAGCTACACTGAGCAAAATCAAAGTGTGACAGCTTGAAAAGAACAAATCCTAAGGCGTCTTGAACGCATGAGCTTGAAAGTGTTATATACCGCTTAGTCCTAAGCAAATGTATTATTCCTATATGTGTCTTTCTATATCCTGGGATCCAGATCTGACAATTATACTCTGAAGCAGCTCGTCGCCGTAGGATATCTCCTTACTAACTGTTTTTACAGGGTATACGCTTTCAGCTGTCCACATCTATTCTCTACCTTCATCTTACACAAAGCCATATCACAATACAGCGATTTTTACAGGGTATACGATCTCGCACATATTCAGGATTACTTCAAATTTCGCGCTTTCCTTTTCCTTTTCATTTATTTTATGTTTTCTTTACATTTTCTAGCAATTTCTGCACTCTACCGGCGAGCATGCCACTTGGCAAAATTTTCTACAGGGTATTCGTTCATACACTTCCAACTTGTATGTTTTCTTCAAGTGTATGTATGTGTGTGTGTGTATGCATACTTATATAGTAAATTTGGAAAATATTTCACAGGCAATTTCGCATGCTGCGAGACATATTCTGAATGTCCTGCGAGCCGTTCGTCCCTCGTCCTGCGGGCGGCATACATCGACAAACGGTAATAAAAAATTCAGTTCACGTCTCAAGCACTTATTGATACGTGAGCATAGATGACACACACTCACACACACACACCCACACACACACACACATACACCCACACGCACACATAAATAGCGCATATATATGCATAGCCCCAGTGGCTGAAGTCAAGATGAAGGCCTGCGTAGGAGGGGCAAGAGAGCAAGTCGCGTTCTGTCATCAGCCCAAGGGGACAATGCAGGACATTCAGTTAGGATGTGGCCGGAGCAGGATAAACAGAGCTGAAACTGAGGCTGCCGCTCTAGCTGGAGCTGGAGCGAAGGCTGGAGCTGGGGGCCCAGTTGCTGGAGCTGATGCCACTGATGGTGTTGGGGCCAACGTCACAGTCCTAGCCAATTACTGACCATGAAAAATGACCAAATGCCGCATAAAAAATAGCCAACAAATTGCTCGCACAAAGTTTCACGCATCAATTTGGTTAAACAGTTGTCTTCTTCTTCGTTTCCTCTCGAAGGCAGCGAACTCACTGACATATGTGAGATGTGAGATGGACAACGTCCCCTTGCTGGCTTTGGAGCGAGAAAACAATATTTTGATGAAGTCTTTGAATTTTCTCTGTCTTCTCTAACCAGAGGCTAACCGTAAGGAGGAAAACTAAGCTGAAATAGCTTTACCTCTAGCTTTACTCTCTATCTTATATTCTCTCCTCGCCCCTCTTCTCGCTCCTTCTCATCTTCTCTCATCTATACTCTCTACTCCATACTCTCTCAACAGTAGAGCTATTCGCTCATCTCCCTATCTTTCTCTCTCTCTCTCTTTTTACATTCTCTACTCTCTACTCTTTCTATATCTCTTACTACTCTCTTGACTTATTACACTCTATCTCTTTCTTCACTCTCTACCGCTTCCTATCGCTCTCTGTCTCTCTATCTATCTCTACTCTTGCTACTCTCTCAACTTTACTCTACCTCTCTGTTACTCACTCTCGCTCGCTCGCTCTCTCTCTCTCTCTCTCTCTCTCTTTCCCTCTCCCTCTCTATTGTAGATTCAATAGACACAACGTTGTAATCAGTAAGTAACGTTCGCTCCCCCCACTCTCTCTCTCTCTCTCTCCCACTCTCCCTAACTGTCTTGTCCCCCCTCTTATTGTCTTGCCCACTCGCACTCTACCCTTCAATTTGGAGCTTCCCCGATGGGCTGGACCGCGATGAAGGATATCGCATCCTGACCACGCGCGCCATGCAAATGAATTACGTGACTGAATCGTTTAACTAACGGCAATTGCAAATGGCGCACAAAAAGCGAAACGCGAACCTCGAAAAGCGGACAAAATTGTTCGAGTATTTGATTTCGCGTTGTTTTCACTCTCGACAATATAAAATGGAGTAATTAATTAATGTGATAAAGACAGAGGGAGGTGTTACAGGTCGGTACAGGTGCGACAGAGCGCGAGGACAGTGGCGAGAGTAAGCGGGAGGGAAATCAATTAACGTTATTCATTCGAATACAATTAATTTTCATAATTAAGCCCGCCCGTTGCGCTCTTTGAAGTGAGCGCAACAGCAGTCAGCACAATATCCGCATCCAACATGCGCATCCACATCCACATTCGCATCCGCATCTCTGGTTGCTGCTACTGCTGCTGCTGATGCTGCCTCCAATTTGCAGTGGCCCGGCACAAAAGCAATTGCCGAAGCGAGTGCCAATCTCAGCGACACTGACAGCGGCAGCAGCATCAGCATCAGCGGCGGCAGCGGCATAAACAGGTGACATCAGAGACAATAAGCTACAATGAAAACACACACATGCATATGTACATATGTGCATACAAACATATGTATGTGTACATACATGCATACGCTGGAAATACATAGTTAGCAAAGAAACGATATGTGCAACGCATACATAAATACTCTGCATTTCTAGAATTGTGCTATTGATAATGCTACCAACTATCGATTACTTGATCATCGCTACAAACGCATAAATGCACGGATCCTCCACTGGTTGCGATACCTTAACAAACTATCGATTAATCTGCTATCGTGATCAAACAAGGCCAGCCCAAAGCTCTTAACTACGTAATACGTTTGTATGTATATTACGTTCTTTTTATAAGTATATGTACATACATATATGTATGTAAATTACGCTATTTTCTTCTAGTACATTTAGTAAGCAACATAATTTATGACTTTATATGCATTAAAACGTTTGTGAATTGTTTTTATCTTAATTGCAATTTCTTCGCACAGAATTTATGGCATTCAATAAATCAAAATATTTCGAAATAATTATTTATTGAAAGGTTATTTCATTTGCTTTATTTTGTCAAATATTTCTTATACGTTTTGCCTGCATGAATAGTTTTTTGCATAGCTACTGGAAAGAGTATACAATTGCAGCACATACACTCACACATTCACATACACACACACACATACGCGATAAGCAACATTTTGTTAAGGCCACTTTGCGACATTTTAATTTAAATGCTAATCAGTTGCCAATAGAGTAAAAAGAGATGCTGTAGCAGCTAACTAGGTAACGGTACCTGGACATGGACCAGCACCTGGAACTGCTACTCGGCCGGATGCTGAACGTGTGTGCATGCCTGTGTGTGCGTGTGTGTGTGTTCAGATTGCAAGCAATTTGATGCCGGGAGACGCAACAGCTCTGCAATTTGTATTTAAAATGTCCGAACATGGATTAGACAGGCACAACAGCCGAAAGGCCTACATATGCAACGCCACCGACAGCGCAGCAACAGCGGATGGAGAGCAGCTCGTCTGGCGGCTGCTCGCTGGGACATCATTATCATTTGCATTTTTGGATACAATGTCGAGGGCCTGGGGCCATTTATGTGCACAGCATGCACAATAAGTATACCTGATAGCATCAGCAGCGTCTATTTTCGGGGTGTCAAAGTGAGCAAACAACAACAACAACTATTTATCAGGACTGCAATTTGCTAGGCGAAAATTAAACATTGTCAGAAGCTTGTGCAAAGCGCATTACTTAAATTACAAATAAACAAGAAGAGTTGGCCGCAAATTTGTCTTTGCACTTTTACCGCTATTTGCGCCAACAACATCAAAGTTAAAATGGAAACAAACAAAAGGTCCAATATAAATTTGACGTAGCGATAGCTGCTCGCGCTAAACGTAAGCCGTTAACTCGCACGTCCGTTACGTTCGCGCCAAGCTCAATGTAACGATGGCTTCAGCTCGTGTCGCTTCACACTCTGTAACTGACTGATGCAGCACTCAGTAGGCTATGCATTTTAAATCAAAGTTGACGTATAATGTTGATGCACACATAGAGCCCTAGTGTCAAAACGAAAATTTAGTCGACCGAGTCACGACAAAAAAAAAATAAGAAAAAGTAAACCCGAAAAATAAATTTTTCTTTTTTTTTTAATTTTTGCGAATAGAAATTTAAAGGACTCAGAAAGAACAATGAAGCGCAAAGCTGATGAAACTACCGCAGATGCTGGAGTGCAGGTGGAGCCAACCACAGAGCCCGTTGACAACGCCTCTTCTGAAGTGCAAGTGGACCACCCCACAGATAGCAATGACAACAACTCTTCTAGCCCCGAAGAGGCACCAAGGCCCAGGCGTCTACGCTATGATACTGTCAAAGTGTTCGTGCCTTCAGACAAATACGACGCACTCAGAGGGCACTGGTTGGAGATATATGTACCGCTCGTGGAGCGCATGAAACTGATGGTACACTTCAACGTAAGAACACGTAATGTGGTGTTGCGCGTCGGCCCCGAAACACCAAACTTGTATAGTTTGGTCAGAGGCGCTGACTTCGTCAAGGCATTCATTTACGGCTTCAAGATAAAAGATGCTCTGGAGCTACTCCATTTAGATGATCTCATCATAAGGACCTTTGAGATACCGCACGTGACGATGCTGAGCGGCGAGCCACTCCACAGTGTCTTTAGTCTCCTATCTGACACGGAAAACACCAAACTCATCGTCGAGAAAATAACCAAATCCCGAATTGTGTTACTTCATGACAAGATCCATATTCTGGGTTCTCATAAGAACATAAAAAGGGCACGTCGCGCCATTCGAAACCTGATCTTACCCTAATGGCCGAGCAATTTCATTTATCTGTTTTGCTGTCTGCACATCATCGACTCTCGCCTCTCTGAGCGCATGTGAAGGCGAACATCATACACTGGAAGGACCTTGCATATACACACTACACTACTACTACAAATAATATGTTTTTCCGAATATTGTATCCATTCAACATCTTCGTTCAATCCAAAATAAACAATTTAGTAAAATGCATGTTATATGAAAATATTCATTCATGGCCTATTATCCGATTTGCCACGCTAGGATTCTATTAGCAATTTACTGGACATATATGTAGGTTCTTTATAGAATCGCAACATTAGGCCGTGCAAAATTTCAGCGTTCTAGTTTTAGAACTAAAGAAGCTACAGCTTTATGTGATTTGCCACGCCCCAATAGGCGTAGATACATTTATTTATGAACTCATCACTTTTATGAGTGAGTCTAAATTACAATTTGTCTTTGCATATTTACAGCTATTTGCGGCAACAACATTAAAGCCAAAATGGAAACAAACAAAAATATGGCGTAGCGATAGCTGAGCTGTTAACTCTCACGTCCGTTACATTCGCGCCTAGCGCAATGTAACGATAGCTGCTGGCCGATTTTATTCACGCTCTTTAGCTGACTGCTATATCACTCAACTGGAGTGCCCACTTCTCGATAACCATTGACGTGCATCGTTGAAACCGCACGTGGAGGACAGCCATCAAACGAAAATAGAGAAGACGGAATTAAGTCTATCAAAGTATTCCCGAATAGAAAAGAAATAGCCATGGAAGTAGATGCAATAAAAGTGGATATCTTTGGGCCCACCAAGAAGGCAAAAAAGCGCAACGCTAATGCAAGTGACCAAGATGTGGAAATGCAGGTGGACGCAGCCACGGGGATCGAGGGCAAGGAACGTTCCAGCCACGGACAGGCGTCAAAACCCAAGCGCATACGCAGCGAGATTCGCAAGGTGGCTGTGCCACCACACAGGTACAGCTCACTCAAAGAGCAATGGATGAAAATCTTTACACCGGTGGTGGAGCACATGAAACTGCAAATACGCTTCAATATAAAGACACGTCAAGTGGAGCTGCGCATTGGCCCCGAAACTCCAGATATATCCAATCTGCAGAAAGGCGCTGACTTCGTCAAGGCCTTCCTATGCGGCTTCGACGTAGACGATGCTCTGGCACTGCTCCGTCTGGAGGATCTCTTCATAGAGACCTTTGAGATCAGAGACGTGAAAACGCTGCGCGGCGACCATCAATCCCGAGCCATTGGCCGTCTCGCTGGCAAGGGTGGACGCACGAAATTCACCATCGAGAATGTGACCAAAACCCGAATTGTCCTCGCCGACAGCAAGATCCATATTCTGGGCAGCTATAAGAACATTCAGCTGGCACGTCGCGCCATTTGTAACTTGATCCTCGGCTCACCGCCAAGCAAGGTTTATGGCAATCTGCGCGCCGTTGCCTCTCGCCTCTCGGAGCGCATGTGAAGGCTGTGATCATAGGGCTACAATGGAAGGACCTACCATAGACCTAGACTATAATTAAACATAAGACGTATTTAATTTTTTTTTTCTCTCTTTTTCATCTTTGTTCAATCTAAAATAAACAATTTATTATAATGTATGCATTTTATACGTTATATAATATATGTATGTATGTATATTCTCTTTTATCTAACATTCTCTTGTGAAATATTTCGTGTGGAGATCATCTGTTTCAGGTTTTGAGTTGAACTACGCGCGTTTGAGTTAAGGGAATTTTTAAACTTTGGGTATTCTAACGATCTCAACTTGATCTCATGAGAATTGCATAGAAAGGGCAGGACACTTTAATAGCGAATATCGGATTCTATTTCATTAGCTTTGCTAGTTTTTGCTATAGAGATAAAATTCAGCTCTTGGATTAATAAATAAATAATGGAATTTATATATATTTTACACAAATACAATTACAATTACAATTATACACACATGACTGCACTAACAAAAGAAAATATTAAACAGAAAATTTGCTGGCTGGGCGTTGGGGTCGGTCAAATCCTTTACAGCTTGGTTAGAATGAGCAGCACGAGCATGACGAAGGTGACGGCGGCCAAGACGAGAATGATGCACATTTTGCGATTCTTGCGCTGATACATTTCCGCACGCTGGAGCTGTCGCATGCCCTCGGAGACGCGCGTCTGGGTCTGTTCCACATTGTAGTCGATGCGATCGAGCACGGTGCCCTGCTCCTGCACCATGTGACTCAAGTCCTTGAAGATATCGTTGAGATCGTAAATGGATTTTACTATTTTCGTCACCTCCTCCTCACGATGCTGTGCCAGCCGTGTGTTCTCCTCCTCGAAGAGCAGCAGCTGCTGCTGTGTCATACGGTTAGTCAATGGCTTCTTGAAATTGTCATCAATCTGCTGCTCGTCGTCCTCGAAGAGATACGCGTTCACCTGGCTCTTGCCAGCGCCATCCAGTGGTTGCAGAAAATTATCAAAGGTATCCACAAAGTTGTTGGGTGGCTCATCGCCACCGAAGTTGCCCAGCTCGACATTGGTGAATTCATTTGCATTGTCGAAGTATTTCTGGGAGCGTTCCTCCCGTGAGTTGAGCTGCAGCAGATACGCATTTTGGCTGCTGCGGAATTTGACCGTCAAATCCTGCAGCTGGAGGAGCGCACAGTGCACCGCATTGGCCGTGAGCCGCTGCTCCACTTTGCTGCCAACGCCCAGGCTAGAGCGGACGCATTGTATGTGCCGATGGGTGCTTGCTATCAGCTTGGCCACAATCTGGCTAAGCACTTCGATTTCACATTCGTCATCTTTTTGGTCATCGAAGGTGGGGCGCAGCAGGTGGCGGGCATGTAGCGAGCCCAGCTCATCCAATTTTGGTTTGATTCTGCAATGGCAATAATATAACATTAATAACAAAGCGATTCGTAATTGAGAGCTCCGAGAATATTCATGGCGATCTCACTTGGACATCGTGTATTGCGCCTCCTCGAATTTGTCGAGCCAAATGGGTGGGGTGGCATAATCATCCTGCATCTCGAGTCCCTCTTCAGCCTCGCGTACTGAATGTTTCAATAGACGCTCCGAGTCGCTGCCACGCTATTAAATTACAATATTAGTTTCACTCCTTTGAATCATTTCATCCATATGGACGATAAATTGATTTGGCCCTTACCCGCTCGTCATAATGATTGCGATTCTTGCTGGCATTGTTGCGCATGATAACAAACACCTCGGTTAGATTGCGCGAAGTCATCTTGGCGTTGTCAACAGCCTTTTGTATACGAAAAAATTGTAATTAATCTATGTAAATCTTACATTTTATTTATTTGCTATTGGTATGATGAAATAATCGAATTATCCTATCGATGCAACGACTTGTGTGAATATATTTGTATATCGATAACAGAAAAGACGCAACAGCTGTTCAAACGCAAATTGGAGTAGCGTAAGCGCAAAGCAGAGTATCCGACCAATTAACGCAAAAGCGAGCATATTTAGCGCAGCAAGAGTTGCGTTACGTTACGTTCAAAACGGTTTTATTGCAATACATTTGTAAACAAAACTTGTAATGTAACTATAGATATCAATACATATGTCTAGACTTAATTACTTTTATTCTTATGATATTTTGAGGCCAAAAATAAATTTGTGAGACTATTAAAGGGCAGCTCGAAGAACAGAGTCAATGGAATAGCAAGTGACGAAACTATAACCACAAACGCCACAATCAGACACAGCTACAACAAAAGCAAAATTAATAACGTATAAAAATCATTGCTTACAGCTTAAGCTTACCAAAATACTAAAGTCCGATGGCATTGCTTCGCTGAGTGAGTAGTAAACGTGGAGTATGGTCGTTGGATTGAGCAGATAGATGGCATAGGTAATCCGACTGAGGCGCTGGAACCAACTCGATTCAAGGAACCGCACCACCCAACGTGTGACTCTGTAGCTGCCTTCGATGCGAAAACTGCAGAAAATTAGATGCGCCGTGGCTGCGGATAATAACGAACGCAGAACTACGACAATGCTGCCCACGACTACTGGGCTGACCAGCTCCATGTTCCGCATCTGTGCAAATAGCCACAGAGTGAATCCCGCCAGTTCACATTTAGCCGTCTTGGTAGCAAAGAGTGTCTCAAAGGGAGCTTCCAAGCTGTAGGCATGTGCATAGCCATAGATGCCACCTATGAGGTAGGACGATATGCGGACTAGAGGATTCGTATAAACCCAATCGCCTATGCTATATCCGTCCTCCACTGTATTGGGCACATTCAGGAAGACGAACAGCAGGACAGTGTATACAATATTCCCACAGAGTAGAACCCGAACCAACCGTCGGATCAGCTGTGGATGCCTACGAAAACGAAACGTCAAATAGATGTTACAATGCCTGGTATGCATGCCCACCTGGTATGCGTGTACAGCAATAACATTGCCCCTATATAGAACTGCATATCGCAGCCGAGCGACCACGTCCAATTGCAGCACATCTCGCTGACCGGATACAGATTCTGCACGAGTAGCAGATTGCGCCACCAATGCTGCTCGCACTGCTCATCCACGGACTCAACAAAATGGAAGACGGATGCCTCGCGATTATACTTGAAGCTCACCACGGTCAGCAGGATCACGATGCACTGCAGCGGAGCCAGTCGAAAGTATCGTTGAGCCACTTGCCTCACAAAACGACGCGCAACGCCGGGCAACGTATCGCTGGCAATGCTGCGCTGCAGTGGAACGTTGCCCAGAAAGTTGGAGACGGTGAGGAAGCCGCTAATGAGAGGAGGTGGAACTGTTTAGTGTTTGTCTTGTCCAAGGATAAGAGAGAAAAATAGAAGGGGAGAGAGAGAGAGCACTAGATACATTCATACAAATCCTTTATAGATACCTAATGACAAAGAATACCTCCATCATGAGCGCCAAAGGAATCTGGGAACATGCCTTGACCAGCTTGTCTGACATATCCGCCGAGTGATTCACCGCGAAGAATTGATACCAAACGG